CAGTAGTCAGTGGGGGGCCGCGCCCGTTAGGGCCAGTGGCTGCCCAAGGCCCCAGGGCTAAGTGTCTCTTTGGTTTGCCCTCATTAAATAATAAATTGATAGATATTAATTTTTATAGAAAGTTTGCATGCAGTGAAGGGAAATACGGAGAGACGGCCCCCCGTACAAGAACGCTGCGGACAGCAGCAGGAGCAGCCGCGGCAGCAGCGGCTGGTGTTGCGGCAGCGGCAGCAGCAGCGAGAGCAGCAACCTCGAGGCAGCAGCCGAAATATTTGGAACAATCAATACAGCAGCGGCAATTTCATTAGCGGTACACTCAATTGACGCCCTACGTCTCGCTCGCCGTGCTGCTGCTGCTGCTGCTGCAGCAGCTGAGGCTCTCTCACGTCGCCTTAGGGACCAGGGGGGACACGTGGCGCCCTCTGGGGCCCCCGTCCCCCCCTGAAGCTTCTCCTGCTGTTTATTTGCATATCATCTCATCTTTTTGTTCGTACTCTATCTCACAGGCCCCCGCAGCAGCAGCGCGGCGCTGCAGGACACAGGGACTTAGCACCAACTCATCCCCTCAGTCTCATGGCTGCTCGAATATCGGGGGCCCCCGAGCCTCGCAAGGGGGGCCCCCCGTCGCACGTGGGTGGGGGCCCTGCTGGGGACGGCTGCTGCTTCGCGGAAGCGGCAGCAGCAGCAGCAGCAGCAGCAGCTGCTGCTGCTGCTGCTGCGGAGGAAGACGAGGCCGAGGCCCCCAACCCCAGCTGCAGCGAGAAGAGGCCCCTGCAGCCCCTAGAGAAATGCATGGGGGCCCCTTCTCCAGACTCAATGAGCTACAGCAGGGCCCCGCTGCTGCCTGCGTGTTTGCATGCAGAAGCAGCAGCAGCGGGTGACAGCGCGAAGGACGCTGCAGCAGAAGCAGCAGCAGCAGAGGAAGCCAGGCCCTACCCCTGGCTCAGCAGCAGCGCAGCCTCCCCCTCAGCAGCAAGTGGCTGGCGCTCCCCCCCCATGTGCTGCAGCACTGCTGTGTCTCCTTCTTCCCGCTGCGAGCAGCTGTCTTGCTGCGGCTCCCCAGCCAGCCGCTGGGGTGAGTGCTGCTGCTTCTCCAGCCTGCAGCTGCAGCAGCTCAGGTGCGCAGACGCAGCAAAGATGCAGCTGGCAGCAGCAGCAACAGCAGCAGCAGCACCGCCTGACGCCGAAGTCGGCCCGGTGCTCCTGCATGCGGCGCCGAGCCAGCAGCAGCAGGAAGCGGGACAGACCACCAGCAGCAGCGGCAGCAGCAGCAGCAGCGACAGCAGCAGCGGCAGAGCAGTACAAGAAGAAGCACCCGCAGCAGCGAAGGAGCAGCTAGCAGTTGCTGCCGTTGCTGCAGACGGTGCTGCTGCTGCTGCAGGCCCTGCTTGCTACTCTTGTGCTGCATCCGAAGCAGCAGACGGGAGTTTGACTTCGAGTCAATCTCCTCAGCAGATTCCAGAGCGGGGTGGGACTGCAGCAGAACCTGCTGCTCCTCCAGCAGCAGCAACGGCAGCGACAGCAGCAGCAGCACCATCAGCAGCAGCAGCAGCAGCTGCTGCTGCTGCGAACTTGAATGCAGCGCATGGCCCTGCCCCCACCCCCTTTAACGGCAGCGGCGCTGACGCCGAGGCCGGTAGCACAGATGCTGATGAAGCAGCAGCAGCAGCTGCTGCTGCTGCTGCTGCTGCAACTCATGCAGCCGAAACTGCAGTGGCAGTGACGGCAGCCGCAGCAGAAGCAAAAGAAGCCAGAACAGAAGCAGCAGCAGCAGCCACAGCAGCAGCAGCAGGAAGTCCTGCCCCGCAGCGTCAAGCGGAGCTGCCTGCCAGCAGCACAGCTCCCTCTCCGGCTGACCAGGCGGGAGGGACAGTGCAGGGAGAGCCGTCAGCAGCAGCAGCAGAAGCTGCTGCTGCGGCAGAAGCCCCAGCAGCAGCAGCAGCAGCAGCAGCAGCAGCAGATGAGGACACGGAGGGCTGGATCTCCGTGAAGCCGCGGCGCCCTCGCCGCTGGGCAGAAGTGCCCATATCGGACGACGAGGAGAGCAGCGGGGTAAGAAATTAAATTTAAAATGGAAATTAAGTTTAAAATTTTAATTTAATTTAAAATTGAAATTAGATTCAAATTTTAAATGCATTGGAATTAAGTCACAGTCGCCGTGAGCTCTCGCTGCTGCTGCTAGGTGGGACTTCGCGTCTATTTCCGCTGCTGCTGCTGCTGCTGCTGCTGTGGCTGCAGTTCCGGCCCCAGAGGAAGCCCCACGGCCCCGCAGCTGCAGCAGCACACCGCCAACACCCGCGGCAAGGGGGCCCCCCGGCTGCGCGGAAGCCCTGCAGCTACGGGGAGAAAGCAACAGCAGCAGCAGCAGCAGCAGCAGCAAACGCGCAGCACAGACACACCAACTACACCTGTGTGTTTAGCGCAGCCGTGGCTGCGGGCCTCGTCAACCCCGGCCGAGACACATACGTGGCGCCCGCCGAGCAGCGGAAACAGCCGCAGCAGCAACAGCAGCAGCAGCAGCAAACCAATTTCGAGGATGATAGGGGCCCGAAGCAACCTGGCGGTGCTGCCAACATCAACTGGGGCCCGTGGGTGTCTCATTCCTGCGGATGGTGCTTATGGTGAGCAGCCGCAGCGCAAGCAGCACCAGCAACAGCAGCAGCAGCAGCAGCAGCAGGACTCGCGCTAAGGGGTAGTTGCTGCGTTTGTGGGGGCTGTTTGCTCAGGCACGACCCAATAGGCAACGAGGCGAGCGGAAGCAGCAGAAGCAGCAGCAGCAAAGGGCGGCTGCAGGAAGACTATGAAAGGGGCCTCGTGCAAATAGGTAAGCCGCCCAGCGAAACTTGCACTTCACGATAACCACCCTAGCCTGAGCTCCCGCAGCAGCAGCTCCTGCTGCTGCTGCTGCAGCAGCTCTTGCTGCCTGAGGTGCTGCAGCTGCTGCTGCAGCTGTTGCTGCCTGAGCTGCTGCAACAGCTGCTATTGCTGCTGCTGTTGCTGCCTGAGCTGCTGCAGCAGCTGCTATTGCTGCGGCTGTTGCTGCCTGAGCTGCAGCAGCAGCAGCAGTTGCTGCTGCTGCTGCCGTTGCTGCTGCTACTGCTGCTGCTGCTAAAGCGAAGGGCAACTCTTCCTGCTGCTGCAGGCCGGGCTACGTCTTTGCGGGCGACGCTGGAGCTGTTTCAGCTGCTGTCCCACAAGGCTTTGAGCCCCCCTGTGAACGTGGCCGTCTTTGTGGGCGGCTGCGCCCCCCTGTGGGAAGACCCTGTGAACAGGAGGGGGGGGCACTTCGTCATAAGAAACCTCGCAGGGAAGTCGCAGGCCGTGGTGAGTTCCTGCTGCTGCTGCTGCTCCTGCTGCTGCGCCTTGTGGCTGCCGCGGCTGCGCTGCGGGGCCGCCGGTGGGGAGGGGGGCGAATCGGCTGTTAGTACAGCTGCCGATAGCATCTCGTGACATAAAGAGAGAAGCACAAGGAAGTGTTTTTCAAAGAAGGAAAAATCCAGCAGTGCTGCCCTAAAGGAGTGCTGCTGCAGCAGCAGCTGCTGCTGCTGCTGAGACTGCGGTTTCGCGCGTTGGAGCTCTTGCTGCCGTATACTGCTTACACATTTAACTGAAGTTGAGAGAAGCGCGGGCGGCCTTAGAGCCAGAATTAATAAACTAGCAGATTGGAGGGGGAGCTAGCAGCTAGCGGAGGCAGCAGCAGCGCAGCAAGCAGCAGCTAGAAGTGGGGTGCTTTGCGCGCGTGTGCTGCACTTGCAGGAGGTGTTTTTGCTGCTGCTGAGATCCTTAGAGCAGAAGCAGCAGCGCCACAGACGGACCTTGAGGGCCCTCCTCTCTACTCTTACTGGAGTGGTACTGTGTCTGCGCAACAACGACAAAAGCCACAAAGTTGAGGTGAGCAGTGCCGCAGCAGCAGCAACAGCAGCTGAGGCAGCAGCAGCGGCAGCGGCAGCAGCTGAGGGTGCAGCAGATGCTGCAGCAGCGGGGATTTGACTTTGTCTCGATTCCGGTTAATGTGCATAGAGCCAGATGAAACGGCCATGAGCGTAGGGCGCCTTTGTGTCTTGAAGTGGCTCTATTATTCCTCATCTGCTGCTACTGCTGCTGCTGCTGCTGCTGCTGTGCTGCCAGGTGTGGGTGGGGTCGACTGCGTGCCAGACGCTGCGGCAGCAGGAGGCGCAGCTGCGGGAGCTGTTGGGCTCTACTGCTGTGGGGCTGCACCGTTTGGACTTCGCCTTTCTTTCGCATGAAGCTTGCCTTAATAAAAACCAAAGAAAGGTAAGGGAGCAGAGCTGCTTCACAGGCAAACAATAAGAGAAAGAAGAAGCAGAAACACAGCCTCGCAGCAGCAGCATCAGCAGCAGCACCCTTTCCAGCAGCTAGCAGCTGAGGGTCTCTCATTCATTTTTGCTTTTCCCGTGTCTGTGTCCTCTGCTGCAGCTGCGCCTTAAGCCGCAAAAGCGGGAGCCCGAGGTGGCGCCAGCGGGAGCTGGGGAAGCAGCGTTGCCGCAGCAGCAGCAGGAGCAGCTGCAGCAGCTGCAGCAGCAGCAAGTGGTGCTGCCTGCTTTGTATTCGGGAGAGAGAGAAGCAGGGGCAAGCAGCTGCAACAAAGCAGCCTGCGGGGATAGACTTTGCGGGGAAGGGGCCACTTCGACTTGTGAAAGCGTGAGCACAGACACAGGAAGCTCCCGCCGCAACAGCAGCAACAGAGGGGCCTTCAGCAGCAGCGGCAGCAGCGGCGGCACAAAGAGCAGCAGCAGCTGCTGCAGCACCAGCTCTAGCAGCGGCAGCAGCATTTCAAGTCTCTGCTGCGACGCGGGCGTGTCGACCCGCAGCTACAAGAGTGTCATTCTTAGAGGCACTCAAACAGGTAGGCAGGTACGGTGGTGCGGCGGCTCTGCAGCTTCGCCGCCACTCGGGCTTTTCGCGAGCAGCAGCAGCAGCAGCAGCAGCGGCAGCGTCGCAGAGACGAATTCGAGGGGAGATGAGAAGAAGTCGCCGCTCGCGCCAACGGCTGAAGATGTACCTCAACTCAGTAAACAGCAGGTCCAGGGGCAACAGCAGGTGCCGTTGCAGCAGCGAGAACGAGCAGGGAGCAGCAACAGCAGCACGAAGCCACCAGCGCTGCACTCAGGGGCACTGGCTGCTGCTGCAGGGAAGGCCGCGGGAGCTGCTGCTGCTGCTGGAAGAGGGAAAGATGCGCCGCAGCCACCCGAAGGTGCACAGGCTGCTGCTGCAGGTGCAGCAGCTGCAGCAGCTGCACCAAGCAGCCGAATTACCCGGGGGGCTGTCAGTGTGGGCCGGAAACAAGGCAGACACAAACACCCACGGAGGCAGTATGGGGTAGGACTTAGCCACAGCGAAAGCCTGCGGCCTGAGCAGCAGCTGCTGCAGCACTTATATGCATTCAATGCTAGCGAAATCCCAGACTATTTCTCAATGCAGCAGGCGGCGTACCAGGGGCGGGCTCCGGTCTATCAGAGCTACGCTGCGTGCGCCACTGCTGCTGCTGCTGCCGACCAGGCTGCTGCTGCAGACCAGCAGCAGCAGCAGCCAGTAACTCTGTGGGACTTTCCACCTTTGTCTTCCTCTGAAGCGGCCGCTGCGGATGCTGCTGCTGAAGCTTCTCTTCAGAGCCATCAGCAGCAAGAACGAAGACAGGCACAGCTGGCGCCAGGGCATGGAGCAGCAGAAGCAGCTGAAAACAGCAGCAGCGTCAGCAGCACACCTGCAGTGAAGCAGTTTGCTTTTAATCCTTACGCTCCGGGATTTGTAATGCCTTCTGTTCCTCTCTCTGCCCCAACAGTGGCAGCAGGGGGTGCTGCCGTTGCTGCTGCAGCTGCTGCTGATGTTGAGGAGGAAGTCAGCGAGCGCTGCTCGGCGGAAGCGGCTGAGGCTTCTTCGACTTTGCTGCTGCAGCCTCCCGCCGCTGCGGATGCCGGCAACCTTCCTTCCGCTGGCGCTGCTGCTGCGCCGGTGGAAGCCGATGCAGCAGCCGCAGCAGCAGCAGCAGCAGCAGCAGCTTCAGAATACATGGGCGGGCTGCTGGACGCGGACTTCGTGGACCCCCAGGACCCCTCGTCTTTGCTGCTCATAACGCTGATGCTGCACCCTGCCCTTGACGACGGCAGCCCGCTGCAGGTGCCGCTGCTGCCGCTGGCCCGAATAGAAGGCGGCGCAGTTGCTGTGGAGGCAGAGCTGGAAGCTGCGGAGCAGCAGCAAGAGCCCCGCAAGAAGGAAGCAACGAGTCCTTCGCGTCTCAGCCTGACTCTGGACTACGAGGGGGTCACTCAGACTCTGTCAGTTGACATTCAGCAGGACTAAGGACGCATTTGTCTTCTTAGTTTTGCCTTCTTTTCCTTTTTCACATGAGCGCCCACACAAGCTTTTGCCCGACGCCGTATTGTTACCACCCCACCAGCTCCACCACCGCCAGACCGACCCTCTGAGGGACAGACACTTTTCAGAATTTCAACTTTAGACTCTCTAGCTAGGCAGCTGCTGCTTCCGCTGCAAAGCCTGCAGCAGTAAGCGAAGCCACAGCAGCAGCTGCAGCTGCGGCAGTAGCAGGTGCTCTCTGCAGCAACTTGGGCGGCAGGCGAGTGTGCTGCGCCAGCTGCCGCCTGCCTTCTGCACCTCCATCTTCAGGCCACGCGCCGCAGTCTCATTTTTCTGTCTCTGAGGGCTTAGCGCAAGGCGAGAGGCCCAGCCGCCTCTCGGCACTGCATGCTGCATCTTTCAGTCCCAGCAGCAGCAGCAGCAGCAGCTCAGAGTGCCACAAACGTTTTAGCCAGGTTTGAAGGTCACCACCCTCCGTCACATTCGCTCTTTGAATCCACCCGAGCCCCTGCACTTGTGCTTTTGCTCCGCTTTAATTACCTTCGCCGCCGCTAGGCTGCCTCTGCAGCCTGTAAGTGCTGCGGGGCAGAACGGAGGCTGTTGACTTTGCGTGGGGCAGCGAGAGCGCTGGGTCAAGTGCAAGTTGACTGACGCGGGAGAGAAGCAGTGGGTCCTCCAGCTGCTGCCGCTGCTGCCGCTGCTGCTGCCCTCAGCGCTTGTTTTGTTTTGTTTTCTTTTGTTTTCTCCGAGGGCAGCAGACCCCCTGCATGCGCCAACTCAGTGTCAGTGTGAAGAGCCAGGGAGGGAGGAACAGGCCGCCCCAAAGACCGAAGGCGAATAGGTCGGGCAGCGTTTCCTTTCGCATTTCTTGTGGGCTCGCAAGAACACGAAGCAGCAGCAGGCCTGAATGGCTGAAGCTTCCCCAGAACCCGCTGGCGAGGCGGTCCTCTCGGCAGCGCAGCCGGGAGAAAAATAGGAAAGCGCGGGGGCTTCACAGCCGCGCCAGCTGCATTTGAGGCAGCGACGCTTCTTAGTGCGCACCGAGCACGCGGACCCCTTTTAAGTGGTGTTTCCGTTTACTGTTTGTGGCTGAGACGCAGCGCACCGCAGCTGCGCTGGAGCCCCACCAGCTGCTACAGGTCTCAACAAGACTAGTTGATCGCAGATGTTTCTGTGCCTGTTTAGCAGTCTTTAGGCTCACGATCCACAAGCACACAACTCAATACTTGGGGGAACATCCGCGTCTAGCTAGCTAAGGATCGCCAGTAGGCTACAGCAGAGCTTAGAGAAGCACGTTGAGCTGGAGCTGCGCTGAGGCTGGCAGCAACACGGAAAGAGTATGTCACCCTAGACGACCTTCAAAATACTGAATGTAGCTAGCCACGCCTGCAGCTATGCAGCTCTACTTCAGCCGGTGTCATCCACTTCTTATGCTTTCAAGTTCAGCGCGCTCGCTGAGCCCGGCTTAGCTAACCGGGCGGCGGCGGCCCGACAGTGCAACCCTGTACACGGTGCGACGCCTCCAGCAGTAGCACAATACGAAGATTCTGCTGCTGTAGCTTTCCTGTAGAGTCTGAAACGACAGCAATATCGGTGATTCTCCCTGCCCCCTGTGTCGATGCTTCCCGCTCCCCACTGGTGTCTAAGCCAGTGATACTACAGCGTCAGGCTCGTTGTGGCCCAGTCCCGCCTCTATACCCCCACCTGCTTCTCGTGCAGAAGCAAAGTGGGCTTCGGTAGTTTCCGCTGCCTACACCTAGCAGCCCGCCCAATGGGCACTGCAGCGGCACCTGCGTGTTAGTGCCGTGTCAGTGCCGGCTCGCGCGCTTATAGCCGCAATTTCATGCACGTGGCGACGGGCAGCAGCAGCTCGGAAATGAAACGAGGTAAGTGCGCCTGCGCGTGGCTGCGCGTGGCTGCGCGTGGCTGCGCGCCTGCGCTGCCGCAGCTTTCCCTTTTGTGGTCTTCGCATCTCGCCTCTCCCATCCTCGTTTGTCGGTGGAGTTCTTCTACCCTGTCGTTGCCTGTTGTTGTTCAAACTGCGGCGCCTGCTGCAGGACCCTGGCCTTGACAAACACGCCTCGCTGCAGCGCGCCCTTGAGATTCCTGTGCACCTTGAAACGCGTGTACACCTTGTCCGCGTCTGTCGCCAGACCGCGCTGCTGCAGAGTTTTCCCCACCTTTCTGTACAGCGGCAGTTGAAACAAAAAATCAACAGCGCAGTCGGGGATCCACGAAACAGTAATGGTTCAGTGTCTATCACTAGGAGGTCGATGAGAGCTTCTCACAGCCCTGTGTCGATCCCAATTGGATATGCTGGCGCCTTGAGCAGTCGCATATAAAACAATTTAAAGAAAACCGCCATTCCGCTGTGTTGAATGGCGCCCGTGCAAATACTTTGCTAAGCAGCACATGCATTTGCTCGGGACACAAATCTCCATGAGTCTTCATGGATACAACTATTATTCATGTTTCTCAGAGGCCGTGCGGAACCACCGCAGCGCCTTAATCCGGCTTCCCAGGGAGGCCACGGCGCCTCGAAATGGGGCTTCGTCGCAGATCATCTCGTTGGAGAATGGCGCCGGCTTCACCTCGGGGGGCACAGCAGTGGTGACGGCGAACCGCTGTGCCTTGACTACAGCCACTGAAGGCCCGGTTTGAAGTTCAAACCGAAGGAGATTCACATCTCCTGCAAATAATTCGGATGAAACGGGCGTTTTGCCCTCTGCCTCCGCAGGGGCAAACGCGTCCACTGCAGGCCGCGAAGAAGCCTCGAGATAGGCCTGGAAAGAAAATACCTTCGTCTCCACAGCCCCCTCCCCTTCGTTCTCCAGGCGGCCCAGTTCCAACTGGAACTTTACGAACAGATAGTCTGCGAAAAATGAATACAGCCGCAGCTAAGAATTAAGGAAAACGAGAGGCCACAGAAGACTGAGAGAGAGCTGCAGTATAACCCATTCAGGCAACTGGCCACAAATCCCATTTTGCGCTCTTCGTCAAAACAAAATATGCAGCCATAGAAAACATGCAGTGCGAAGGCAAGAAGAAACTCGCTGAGAAATCCCCAGTGTGGGGATTCTCTCCCCCCTTATATACCGCCACCACAGCAGCAGAAGACAAACACGGTGGCCACGACTTAGCCGTGAAAAGCTATAAAGCCAGAAGAAAAGGGACCAATAAAAGCTGAAGGGGCAGCGAAAAGGCGAAAAGACGGAGCCAAATCTGTGCAAGGGCTGGTAAAGCAAAAGGAAGACAGCCAACGCCGAGACTGACTATCGGAAAAAGACCAGGAAGCTCCCACTCCGCGGGTGGTCTTGCCCCAGCCTTTGCTGCTGGCGCATGCAAAGGTGGGGTACCGCAGCAGCGCCTCGCCTTCATTCTTTGCTGGCCACACCAGCAGCAAACTAGAAACTTGGCCGACGAACCGCAGTTGCACCGACTCTCGCGCCGGGTCTGACCACACCCCACAAACACGAGCCTCTGCTGTGCATCTCCAACAGACCTGAGTTGCGTCTTAGGCAGCAAAAGGTTAAATAGACTAGCCCTAGCTAGCTAGGCGGTCTAGCTAGCTAGACAGCCACTAAAACCCCACCTCTGCGAAGCTGCAAGGCCTATAATGTGCACGGAAGGCTGGCGGCTTAGAGGTCGAGGGCAAGAGCTACGTGTCAGTGGCCTCACCGTAAAAGCAGGTGGGGTTGTTGTTGGCGTTTGAGTCCGTCTCGTTCTTGCCTAGCTGTCCCACATGCAGCATAACGAGGCGGCCCCCCTCTGAGTCTTCAAAAGCCTGAGCCAGCCACAGCCGCAGCAGCAAACAAGCCTGCGAAGCCAAGCCCCGCTGCATGCGCTCTGGCTGCTTCGCCCAACGCATGCACGGGAAAGCAGCGTGCAGCTGAATCTCGCAGCCCCAGCCGCAGCAGCTAGTGCTGCGCTGCAGCACCAACTGCTCAAACCTTGTGCTGCATGCTGTTACTCGAGGAAAGCTGAGGCTGGGGCTGCTAAGTCTAGAGGGCGCAGCCGCACCGTCCAGGCCTTGGCTAGCCAGTGGGCCAGCGCGAATCTGTGCACAAGGCCGAACTCCAGGGCATGCACTTTAGCCTGGAGATCCGGCAGCGGCGAGAAAGGCACCTCCTGCCCCGGGCCCCGCGTGACTTTGGTTTGGTGCTGCAGCGAACGGCTGGACTTGAAGATGAAATCGAGGCTGTTTGCTTCAGACTCGCTTCCCCTGGAGCCCGCGGCTGCGCCCGCGCTGCTGCTTTCTGTTGTGGATTCTGTCACCCCCAACGCCCCCGCGCCGCCCGCGGACTCCTCCTCAGCAGACTCGGCGAAAGTTTGCGTCGAGCCCAAAGGCCCCTGCGAGTCGCTGGAAGACGAAGGCAAGCGTTCTGCGACGGAGTCCTCCGGGGTGTCCTCCTGCTCCCCGAAGGGGGGAGCTGCGCCGTCTTCCTCTTCGCCCGCAGCCCCATCGTGGGGGTCACCCCAGGGGCCCCTGCCCCCGCTGTGGCTGTCGGGAGCGGGGGCCCCCATATAAGGGCCTCTCACAAGCAAACCCTGCTGCCCCTCACCCCGTGTGTGGGGCCCGGGCCTCGCCTCGGGCAGCAGGGCCTCCCCAGAGCTGCTCTTCGCGCTGAGACGCTGCAGGTACTGCAGATATGCAATAGGGTCACTGTGGTTGCCGTAGCTGAAGTCGCAGCGCGGCAGCCGCCGCCTGCTGCTGCCCTTCAGATAGCCCAGCGGGCTGTTTGCTGCCATTTGCGAGCAGATCGGGCTCAGGGTTTCCAGGTCGTCGGGGGCCTCATATGCCTTTCAGCAGCAGCAGAAAAGCAAAAACACACAGCAGGCACTTGGCGGCAGCAGCGGGAAAACAGGCACTGCAAAACTTCCAGATAGACCCTTCTTCAGGGCCCTTTAAGCCGAGCACTAGAGTGCAGAGATCCAATTGTTTGCAGATCTTGGCGGCTGCTGTAGCAGGCAAACTGCGCCCGCTGAGTGCACCGCCCTGCGGCGATGCTGCTGCTGGGGCCCTAGCAGTGCAGCTTCTAAGGCAGTTTAGAAACTGGAGATGCATGCATGCAAGTGAGGGTCTACGGGAGGGCCAGGGCCTTAAGGCGGGGCTTTGTGTGACGCTAAGCAGAGCCTCTTTGCTCACACGTTGCTGCAGACGGCTGTGGACCTAAGCCCTAATAGAGTACTGCTGCTGCTGCTGCTGCTGCGGCTGCTGCTGCTTAGGCAAGGCGCCGCAGGCCCCTGGGCTCACCAGTACAATGGTGCTGCCGAAGTGGAAAGCGCCCAGTTCTTGCCCCATGCAGAGTTTAACAGGACTTGTGTAGTCGTAGAGGTAGCTGTGGCGGACGAGGCCGCAGTGGGGGGTGAAAAGAAAGCGGTTTTGGTCGACACGTCTTCTGTAGAAAAGTTCGATGCCCCCCACCATGCGCGCAGCCACGAAGGTCATGGAAAAAAAAAGAGGAGGCCCTCCTGCGTTTCCCGGATGCCAAGTTCCCTGCACTGAAGTGCGTTCAAACGAGTCCAGTATATCCCGTTTGCTCAGCACAGTGCGGCGGACCTGTCGAGAGCAGCAGCAGCAGCAAAAGCCGCAAAAGAAGCGCCTTTTCGCGGGCCTCGGGGCTGCGCACCCGTGCTGCTGCTGCTGCCTGCAGCTGCGCAGCAGCAGCCTGCAGCGGCACTTTTGCTGCTGCTTTCTTTACAATCAGCAGCAAAGTCCACCCGCCTCACGGAAGGAAGACAGCCCGGCATGTAGACGTGGCGCAGCGCCCGCCAGTCCGCCGCAGAGTGAAAGCGGTGATAGTCGGAAGGCGACAAGTAAAAGATGTGCACATGCAGCCGGTGCTTCGGGCTCTGCAGCCGCAAGTTCATGTTTGTGCCGCGTCCAAACAAAAACTGAGACAAGTTAAAAGTAGTGCCTTTGATCTGAACAGAAGCAAACTCACGCACCAAACCACCAACACAAACCCTAGCCCGACCCTTCCCCGCAGCCAGCCACCCGCGGGGCCCTAGGCCAGTTGCCTGCGCGCTCTGCTGCTGCTGCTGCTGCTGCTCTTGGAGCGTGCAGCGGCGCTCCAGCGCTGCTGCAGACCGTAGCAGTTACTGCTGGGGCTGCGCGTGGGCCGTGCTGCCCAGAGCCCCAGGATATTATTTAAAATGTAGAGTGCATATATATATGTAAACAACGCCTATTATCTGTAGGAGATAAATCCACAATATTATTAATTGTAATGACAAAAAATAATAATCTCCTACCCATTTATTATTTGAGTCACTTTTTCAACATATTCTAAAGCGGCTTGCCTGCGGGATGCGGGCGCCGATGATGTTTCCGTCTTCGTCAGGTTTGATGTAAAAGGCATTTTGCAGCGCCGAGTCCGCAGGCGACACCAAAATGGCCTCGCTGTCTATGGGCCGCAGCACATCGTAGTTTATGGGCCGCGAGAAGAACAAGTCAACTGTGGGGAACAGCTGCGGGCCGCCCGGCCGGAGCTGAAGCAGGCTGAAGGCCTCTTCCAAGTCTGCAGCAGCCGCAGGCACTCAAAGCCAGGCGTGGGGGGAAGCCGCAGCAGCAGCAGCAGCGGCAGCGGCAGCAGCGCAGCGGGGCCAGCAGCAACTGGCAGCAGAAAGCAAGCAGCAAGCAGCTGGCCCCAGCGCCAGCCACCTCTCCCACCCAGCCAGCAGCAGCCGCAGCAAAACTGCGGCAAAATGGACTTCAGAAAGAAACAAAGACAACAATCAAAAGCTCCTAAAAGTGCTGCAGCAGCTCCAGGGCTCCCCCGCCTCAGCTGCCCATTTGTGTGGGCCTCCCCCTTTGCCTGGGGGCCCCTTTCTGTACATTTCCAGAGGGTCTTGTCATTATTTTTATTTTTTTGAAAAATGCTTTTCTAGTTTCTCACCAATGTTCGTAGAGGCCCAAAACTTCCAAAGAAAACACCGGTTTAGCCGCGTCCGCGCCACGACGCCGATGAAGCGGGAAAAGAGCCGCGAGTTGTCCGCAAAAAAATTGCCAATGTACCTTCTACCTGCAGCAGCAGCAGCAGCAGCAGCAAGCAGAATCACACCAGCGTTGTGGCACAATGAACAGCGGCAGCTGCAGCACTAGCAGCAGCTCAGCAGCGCCACAAACTCGGCAGCTGCGCCCGCGAATCCACAGCAAAGACGGACATCAAGCAGCAGCAGCAGCAGCAGCAGCAGCAGAAGGCACTGCAGCCTCCTAAGCCTCACCGTATCGCCCAGGAGTCCCTTCAGGCGCAACCGGCTGCAGCAGCCACAACAAACAGACAAATTGCAAACTGCGTTTTTGCCTCTTGTTCCGTTCTCCCAAATTTGGAACTTAATCAAAAAGGTCTTTTATAAGGGACTTGTGCTCAAATGCCAAAACTCTGCTGGACTTTGAAATAATTCTGTGCTGCTTCCCAACATCGTGGTGACCCCAGGCGGGCAAATAGTGCATCCAGCCGCTCAGCAGCAGCATCAGCAGGAGCAACCGAAGCAGCAGCAGCGGGGACAACGGAAGCAGAAGCAGCAAAAACAACAGCAGCAGCAGCAGCGGGTGGAAACGGAAGTAATGGCAGCAGGAAGAGTAGCAGCAGCAGCAGCAGCAGGGTCAACGGAGGCCACGGCAGCAGGACGAGCAGCAGCGGCGGCAGCAGCAACGGCAGGGGCAACAGAAGCAGCAGCAGCAGCAGCAGCAGGAGCAGGCGGCTGCTGCTCACAGCCTCCTCAGGCTCGACGTGGACAGTGGTCTCCCTCATTAGGGCCTCCCCGTTGGGCCCCCGGAACCACTGGACCAAAACAAGTGTGGGGTCTTGTTCAGTGAGAGAGTCTTTGGAGGCCCTGGCTGCGAGCATGAGGGCCTCGGGGGGGGCCCCCCCGGGGCCCCCCGAGAGCAGCGCCTGCTGCAGCTGCTGCTTGCCCAGCGCGGAAACTCTGAAAGGGATTTTGGCCTCGCAGAAGTAGCTGCTGTCCTTGCGGGGAGCAGAAAACAAATTATTTGGAAAGTGTTTCAAAGAGCCTTTCTCTGCGTCCTTGAACTCCACTCGGAAATAAGTTTGCTGCTGGAAAAGCTGCTGCAGCAGTGCGTTGCTGGGCTGCAGCAAAGTTGCTGCTCGCCCGTTGGGGCCCCGCAACCACGAGGGGGAGGCCCCCGGGCTCTCGCTGAGGGCCCCCTTTACCCCTTCTATTGTTCGGGACATTCCCTGCTGCTGCAGCAGCAGCAGCGGCAGCTGCTCCAGGCCCACCCGCGGCAGCACTTCCAAAAACCGCGTGTCCAGCGGCAGCCGCTTGCTTCCTGCCTGCGCAACAGCAGCAGCAGCAGCAGCAGTAGCAGTGGCAGCGGCAGCACCGAGCCTGGCAGCAGCAGCAGCATGGCCCGGCTCTCCGCAGCTGCTGCTGCTGCGGCACTCGGGGGCTGCTGCAGCGGCCCCGCCTCTCGGGCAGCAGCTGCTAACGAAGCTGTGGGGCCACTGGCCCCACAAAAGTGGCATTAATGGATTTGTGGCGAAGAGAGACACTGCATGCAGCACACTAGAGCTCATACAAACGAAGTGGACCACTGGTCTGCCCAGCAACTTCGTTTTCAAAAGCAAGACGCCATCTTTATCTGAGACTTTCTTTTCAATTCTGTGTTGTCTGTGGCTGCTGCAGTGCCTGCTGCTGCCCCGCAGCAGCGCGCGGCAGCCCCGGCCCTGCGGGCGCACCTAACTGCTGCTGCGTGACCAGTGGTCCAGTGGTCCAGTGCTGCTGCAGCAGTGGTCCACCCACCTTGGCCGCAGCGCGGAGGCGCGCGCCGCCCAGCAAGTGCAGCGGAGTGAGATGGCCCACGCCGCCCCTCCACAGCTGCAGCTTCGCCCAGAGGCCCTCAGCCTTCAACTCCACAGCGCCGGGCCAGCCAGCGAGTGCAGCAAGAGTGGCGGCGAGGCCCTCGAGGGTGGGGGCCCCCAGCCTACTTGGGAGACAGGAGATCCGCAGCAGCAGCTGCTGCGGCTGCAGCAGCAGCAGCAGCAGCAACAGCAGCTACTGATGCTCCGGCAGCAGCAGTTGCTGCCGCTGCACCCACAGCAACAGCAACAGCAGCTGCTCAACAGCATCAACAGCTCCAGCTTTAGCAGCAGTTGCACAGGAGACGGCTGCCCATGCTGCTGGCAGACCCTACAACGGCCTTAGGCACTCTTGGCAGCAAGGTTCTGCAGCAGCAGAGACGGAGCAGCAGCAGCAGGGCCTCGTCGTGCTGCTGCTGCTGCTGCTTTTGTGGGGGATTCGCTGTTGCTGCTTTAGGCACCGCAGCAGCCGCGCACTGGGCCAAATTCACCGGTACAGCGTCGGACACCCCAGGTGCAGCAGCAGCCGCTGCAGCAGCGAACTCTGCTGCTGCTGCTGCTGCTGCTGCTGCCTGAAGCGCTCGTGCTGAAGCAGCTTTTGCTGCCAGCACTGTGAGGCCAAAAACACCTGCAGCAACGGGCCAGGGGAGCGAGGCTCGCTGTTTGTTTTGAGGGGCCCTTTTTGCTGCAGTATTTAAATAGATGTCAGCGGCGCAGTGCTGCTGCTTCGGCCGCTGCAGCAGCAGCAGCTGCAGCTGTTGCTGCTGCTGCTGCAGCTGCAACAGCAGCAACCGTAGGGGTCCCTGGGGCTGCAAGGAAACAGCAGCAGGGAAAGCTGAAATGCCGTGTACTGCAGCAGCTTTGACTCCCGAAACCTTACATTGCAATCCTGCGTATTTTGCCGTTGTTGTTGCTGCAGCTGCTGCTGCGACGTCTGCTGCAACTGCTGCTGCAGCAGCAGCAGATATAGTATGTAGATAGGGAGCTGCTGCTGCAGTAGTATGCAGATAGGGAGCCACCACCCGAGCAGCGGCAAGAGCCCACTGAGTAGCAGCAGCAGTAGTGCTGCAGCACCACTAACGGGCGCTGCTGCAGCTGTAGCCAGTGCAGCAGCAGCTGCCACCAGCAACAGCTGCAGCAGCCGCAACGGCACTGTGAACGGGGAAGCTGCAGCCTGGCTACAAACTAGCGAGCAGCAGCAAAAGGGGCGGCAGCAGCAGCAGAAGCAGCAAATGCAGCAAGATTGCATGCCACGGAGAAGCTAGATATTTGGTGCACCACACTGAGACTGCAGCAGCAGCAACAAAACAGCCCTCAGCGGGCCTGCGGCGTCAGTGCAGCAGCAGCAGGAGCAGCAGCAGCAACAGTAGCAGCAACAGCAGCAGCTAGTCGGCACAAAGTGCCATATATTTGGCGATCGCCAAGTTGCTGTCTGTAGGTGTCCTTTAATAAAAGGGAGCAGCAGCAGCTGTGCTGCGTAACAGTCCGAAGTAACCTGCCCTCGTGCTGCAGCAAACTTGCTCCAGTTGCAGCAGCAGCAGCAGCAGCAGCAGCCCCTGCTGCTACTACCGCTGCTGCGAGAATCGCTAGCGCAGCACCAGCAGCCGCTGCAGCAGCAGCGGCTGCACGCCGCAGAGGACCGCAGCTGCTGGTGGGGCGCAGCGGCTGTTGCGTGCCGACGCTCAGGCCTTCTTGCTGCTGCTGCTGCTGCTGCTGCTGCTGCTCTTCGCAGCCTGCCTCTTGGCCCTGGCCGCGTCCGCAAGCAGGTGAATTGTCTTGACTCTCTTCTGCCCCTGGCGAAGCTCCTTGAGGGCCTCCGCGTGAGTGAGGCCAGTAAGTCTTTTGTGTTTCTTTTCTTCTTTTGCTGCTTTGTTTTTTTGCTGCAGCAGCTGCTGCCGCTGCTGCGCCTGCTGCAGCGTGAGTTCCCCCGCGTCGATCCGCCGCCGCAGCTGCTGCTGCCGCTTCGCCTTTTTGCTGCGCCTTGCTGCTCTTCGTTCTTCCCGCGTGGCTTCTGCTGCAGTCTTCGGCGTGAACGGCAGCGCGGCCTTGCTGCTGCTGCTGCTGCTGCTGGCAGCAGGCACGTAGACCGGGATCGCCTCCTCCACCCGCACCGACGCGGGCGCGTCCTTTCCTGCTGCTGCTGCTGCTGCTGCTGCTGGCCGCGGCACGAACTGGTAGTTTGTCAAGGCGTCGCACTTGTACATAATTTGCGAAAAGAGCTGCAGCAGCTGCTGTTTCTCCTGGTCCAGCTGCTGCTGCTGCTGCGAGGGGGCCCCCAGCACCTTCTCGCGGTACTGCTGCGCATAAATGTCCCCCAGGCCTTCTGCGGGCTTCTCCATGTTCAGCTCCTCTTCTGCTGCTGCTGCTGCTGCTGCGCCGGCCTTGTTGCTGCCTCCCGCTGCAGCAGCAGCAGGCGGGGCTTTTCTCACAACATCGTCAAAAAGAAAAGCTTCTATGCGGCCCTTGACAATGCGTTCTATCATTGTGCTAATTGCTGCTGCTGCTGCAGCACGGGAGCCCCCTGCTGCTGCTGCGGCCTCCTCATCGCCGTCGTCCGCGCCCAGCCGCAGGTCCTGCTGCTGCAGCAGCAGCTGCTGCTGCTGCTGCTGCAGCTGCGTGGGGAAAGGCACTGTCAGCCCCTCCAGCTGCAGCAGCCCATCTTTCTCCCGCTGCCGACCCCACACTTCTCCGGTGTATTCCCAGCTTTTGGGGGCCACGAGTTCTTCTTCGAGGGCCTCAATGCGAGCAGCAAGAGCTGCCAAAGAGTTGTCTTCTGCTGCTGCTGCTGCTGCTGCTGCTGATTTTCCCGCGCCGGCGCGCTCCTTGCGGCCCGCGGGGGCGCTCACGGCGGCAGCTGCGGCGGTGCTCTCGTCCTCGCTGCTGCTGCTCTCCTGCTGCTGCTGCTGCTGCAGCAGCAGCTTCTGCTGCTGCTGCTGCTGCTTGCGTTCATTCTTCTTTTGCTGCTGCTCCTTCTCCTCAGCCTCCAGCAGCAGCTGCAGCCGATCCAACTCCCGCTCAAGTCTTTTGTCTTCTGCATCGAGGGGCCCCTGAGACTCAAACCCCTTGCCCTCTTCCTCGCTTTCCTCCTCGCTGCTGCTGCTGCTGCTGCTGCTGCTGCTGCTGGCCTTGCTGCTGCTGCTGCCGCGGCGCCGCTTCTGCTGCTTCTGCCGCTGCTGCTGCTTCGGCTTCCCGTAGAAGGCGCTGTAGCTTAAGGGCTCAGCGTCTGCTGCTGCTGCTGTGTCAACTCCTTCGTACAGCAGCAAATCTGCTGCTGCTGCCTCCTCGTCTTCTTCGCTTTCTTCTTCGCTGTCTTGCTGCTGCTGCTGCTTCTGCTGCTTCTGCTGCTGCCGCCGCTCCTGCTGCTCAGCTTCCTCTACAAAACGGTGCATCTCTTCAAGAGAGAAAAACTCATCATCGAGCTGCTGCTTCTTTTTGCGGCTCTTCTGCTGCTGCTGCTGCTGCTGCTGCTGCTGCTCTTGCTGCTGCTCCTCTTCCTTCTCTTCTTCTTTCTCCCTTTCGAGTTCGTCCAGGAGATCGTCTGCTGCATCCGAGCCGCCGTCCTCATCACTTGCTGCTCCTGCTGCTGCTGCTGATTCTGCTGCTGCTGCTGCTGCTGCTGCATCCTCCTTAGAGCTTGCTGCCTCTTCGTCCTCTTCGTCTTCTGCGTCTTCGTCCTCCTCGTCTTCCTCTTCCCCGTCGCCACTATCTGCTGCTGCTGCTGCTTCTGCTGCTGCTGCTGCTGCTGCTTCCTCCTCAGCCTCGCCCTCGCTGCTGCTTCCCTCCCCTTCTGTCTCTTCTTCTGTCTCCATTTCCTTTTCTTTTTCTTCTTCTTCATCCAGCTGCAGCTCCGCAAGGGCCTCGGCGCTCAGCAGCAGCTTCGCCAGCTGCTGCTGCTGCTGCTGCTGCTGCTGCTGCGCTGCAGCCCCCCGCCGCCGCCTCTTCTTAGGGGGCCCCCCCCCATCTGAGGGGCCCCCAGGGGGGCCCCCACCCCCAGACAGGGGCCCCCAATGCTTTCGAAGTCTTTGAAGTCTTTTGCGGGCCTTTTTAATCCAAGGAGCAGCTTCGCATTCCAAGAGCTCCCACACCTGCTCCAGGTTTAGCTGCTGCTGCTGCTGCTGCTGCTGCTGCTGTGTGAGTGCTGCGTGTGGGGGCCCTAGAGCGGACTTCTCAAGGTCTCGCAGCTGCTGCAGATAAGCCTCTTGCTGCTCTGCAGCAACTCGAGCGCGGGCGGCGCCGCGGGCGGGTGGGGCTGCTGCTGCGTTTGCTGCTGCTGCTGCAGCAGCAAGATGCCGCAGCCGAGAGACACAGAGGGCAAGAGCCCTGCCTTGGTTTGTTGCTGCTGCCTCCTGGCGCAGCAGCTGCCCCGGGGCTGCATGCAGCGCAGCAAGCCACCTGTCAATCTCCTCCAAAGGGCCATCTTCATAGACCAGCCCCTCAGCTGCTGCTGCGGAATCTGCTGCTGCTGCTGCTGCGTCTCCCCCAAGAGTAGGGGCCTCGGCCTGTGCAGCAGCGGGCCCCATATTCCGGGGCCTCTTGTGAGAGCAGCAAACAGCAGCAGACAGAGAGCTGCAGCAGAAGCAGCTCTGTTTCCCTCGTTGCTCCACCAGCCCTGTGAAGAGATCGGGGTCTTCCAGCCAGTGGAATAGCCGGTGCAGTGCTGCTGCTGCTACTGCTGCTGCTGCTGCTGCTGCTGCTGCTGCTGCGGTGGGAGCTCGCGCTGCAGCGAACTGTGCTTGGAGGTGGTGGCCAGATATGGGGAAAGAAAGACAAATCAAAGATATTAAACTGTAGAAGGCAGCAGAAACACCGCCGAATTTGCAACTGCGCCAGAAAGAACAGCAGCAGCTGCAGCAGAGCAGCAGCAGCAGCCCCGCAGCCCCATGAGGGGCCCCACGGCTTGCAGCTGCCTCATTGTGTGTGCAGATACGTTTTTATTTATCTTTCCTCCAACGTACATATGCAGAAAAAGCGCCAACTATAGCATAACAGCAGCGCACTGCAGCAGCGGCAACTGCAGCAGAGGCAGCAGGAACTACTGGCCGGCTAAATACGCAGACAGCACAGCCCAGACCGGCGTTTCTTCTAGTTTAGTGGACGAAGTATATGTGTTTTCTCTTTTAAATATATATTTCTGATATATTTTTCACTCAAAGGCATTAACTGTTAAAATCTGCTGCAGCCCCCTCTACAGCCGGCGCCGCCAGACAGATCTTAGAGCCAACAAAAACCTAGTTCAGGGGTAGAGGATCCTCAGGGCTTCTACAGGGTGCCTGAGGGGCCCCCAGGGGCCCCAAGAGGCCCCATCTGGGTACCTCAGGGGCCCCAAGGGGCCCCTACTGGGTCCCTGAGGGGCCCCTGTCTGATTAAGTGGGGCCTCTGGAGGGCCCCTGCTGATGCGCCTGCGCAAGCCCCGCGCCTGCAGAGGCCCCTATGCCTTTTGCTGCAGCCACAGCTGGGCCTTGGGGCCAGCAGGGGGGCCCTTTCGGGGGGCCCTTTGGGGGCCCCCAGCCCCCAGCTGGGCTTTGCTGCGCTGCTAGAGCCCCTAGTTAGTCTGGTGCAGCTGCAGCTGCGCAGCAGCAGCGTTGAGGGCTTAGGCTGCTGCTCCGTAGCTCAGCAGCGGCGCTGTTGTAGGCCTAGCTCTCCAGGCAAACAGCGGTGGCAGCAGCAGCAGCGACAGCAGCAGCAGCAGCTGTCCACGGCTGCCCTTGTCCATGGGGCCCCTCAGCCCATGAGGAGGCCCCCATGGGGCCCCCCATTCCTTGCTAGCCTGATACTAAAGATGGTGTAACAAAAGCTGTGTCTGCACAGCTTTTGTTGCAGCAGCAGCAGCCGTACAGCGGAGTTGCTGTTGCTGCTGCTGCTGCTGCTGCGCGCACTGCTGCTGGTCTGAGTTTGTCTACTTTCCCCGCTTCAAGGTCACTAAGTGGCCCCCAGGTTTCACAGAGCTGCTGCAGAGCCGCAGCACGAGCTCTACAAAAAACGAGCAGCAGCAGCAGCAGCAGCAGCAACTGAGGCTGCTGGCGCTGCTGCTGCACACAGGAGACCAGCAATTCAAAAATACCCGTCAAATTAATTAAGACTATCTCAAATTAAAACTGGTCAAAGAAACAAAGCAGCAGCACCGCAGCAACAGCACAGGCTGCTGGCGAGCCCAAGAAGCAGCTGTCCAGGCACGCCGCGCGCAGCAGCAGCAGCAGCAGCGGCTGCTCCTGCTGCTGCAGCGCCGACTCTGCAGCACAAAGGCCTCTCCACTGCAGCACACCTCCTCACGGCTTGCTGCGCTGTATCTGTGCCTGAGGGCAAAACTGCAGCAACAGGGCCGGCAGCATTAGCAACAGCAGCAACAGCAGCAGCAGCAGCAGCAGCAGGGCAGCTATGGCAGCAGCGATCCAACAGCAGCGGCAAAGAAATAGTTAAGGGGAGCTAGCGCAGATAAACAGACGTCAGTCGCCTCGCAAGAATAGCAGAGGCAGCAGCTACAGCAGCAGCAGCAGTAGCACAGCTCGCAGCCACCATGCCAACAGCAGCAGCAGCAACAGCAGCAGCAGCAGCCCATCTTGCCTGCAGAAGAGCCTCTCTGTTGCTCTGTAAGAAATGCTTCAAAACGCCTTTGCTGTCTTTTGTCTCTGACTGCAGCAGCGCCGTCAGCAGCAACTCAATCTCCTCGCCCGAAAGCGGGTGGGCTAGCTGCAGCAGCAGCAGCGGCAACAGCAGCAAGGATTGCGTTCACGGCCAAAATGAGAGAAGCCGCATAAAAACAGCTGCAGCGACCTGGACCCTTAAATTGCTGCAGCAGCAGGGCGCAGTAGACACAGCAGTAGCAGCAACAGCAGCAGCCGCAAAAGCAGCAGCAACAGCAGCAATACCTCCGGCGCCCGGAAGAGGTTTAGTGCAGCCACAACTCTGGGGCCGCTCATGGCAGCAGCAGCCTGCTGCTTTATTGTTGCAGAGTTGTCTGCAGCTTTCTCCTTCGCGCTTGCAGCCCTGCAGCAGCAGCAGCAGCAGCAGTAACAGCAAAACTACGCACAGCTGCAAATGCTTCGCCCATATTCACTGGCGAACAAAACCGTGAATGCATCCCTACCCTGCTGTTGCTGCTGCTTTAGCTGCTGTTCCTGCTGCTTTTGCCGCTGCTTCTGCTGCTGCCGCTGCTGCTGCTGCTGCTGCTGCTACAGAACAACTGCAGCGGCGACAACGCAGCTGTAGCCAGGCGAAGCAGCAGCGGTAGCAGATCTAGCAGCCGGTGCCGCGGCGTCAGCAGCAGCAGCAGCAGCAGCAGCAGCAGCAGC